GTCGTTTATTCATATAAGATGTCAAAGTAAATACAGAATTGTTTTTTTTCCAGCCAGAATGTCTAACATCTTTTTGCCAAGAATCGTATGACCTACCTGGAATTCGCTTGCAGTTCATTAATTCCTTTATCATCTCATCTACGGCTGATTGCTCATATTCTGTGTAAAACTTCACACCTAACTAAATACCTAGTTCCAAGAGTTGCAAGGTAAATCATAATAAGCACATTAAACCTGTTATAATCCATTATTGTTCTTGATATTTTCCTCCCTCTTTGCTCTTACTCACTGAGTATTTTTGGAGCGGCCGCTTCCGAACGTCTATTACACTAAGTGTATAGCATCCTTCATCAGTTTCCTGAGATTGAATGCTTTAAATCTTAATGTCAGTTTGTGTTTCTGTTCTTCTTAACAGATTAAAGATTATATAAAACTGTACTTTATTGTTGACTAATTTTAATAATGTACTTTTAACCAGTTGCAATGAGGGACTATCCGCACATATTCTTTTATAGTCTCGTAAAATAACCAGACAGTAAACATAAAATGTTAAACGTTAATAAGGCAGGTGCATTCAATTTTTATGCTTTATTTAAATAGCTAGGTCAATTTGAACATTTTTATTTGTCTCTCTTTTGTTATTTCTTGACCATAAAGCATGTCTCTATTTGACATCCCAGTTCAGGTTTCCCTCTTTACATTTTTTTTTCATTTAAATTTCGTATTGAAAGTTAAGACTAGTGAAGGACTTTGTGACATCTATTTTTCGTATTTAAACGAACTGAACAGTTTCATTATGGTTTTTATCCTTTTTTACATTTATATCTAGGTGATGACACATTTTTTTCTGCCAATAAAAAGTAATTATTTGATCTGTAACATGTTATGGATGTATTTAATGTTATTAGGGTTCCACTCCTAAAAATACAAATCAGGAGTGGATCAAACACGGACCTCTAAAAGCTCAGAGGTGGGATCAGGTGCCATATAGGAGTGAGCATCCTCTGCCAAACTGGTCACACTTACCATGTGCTCCTTGTGTTGATCGGGAGAAACGGAATGGGAAAACAATGCAGTGTAAATAATAGACTAGCAATTAATAATTTTTAAAAATCCAGTCAGCATCTGACTCAATGGAGAGGCGTTTTTAGCTTCGTGGTCATAGTATCGACCACAAAGCTTGCGAAATGATGTCCTCAAACGAGACTGTTGATACAATATTTTTTTAAAGTTATTTACTGCATAGTGTATTAAAGAATTTAACACAAATAATACTTGAAGAATAAAAGATTCGCTTAGTTTTGTCTGATCGAATCCAGCAAATATCAAGAGGGTTTGACAATCCTCGTTTGCGAGGTTAATTATAATAAATTATGGTAATGACTACATTATAAAAACTACTTGCGAAATTAATTTTTATTTCTTATTTAAATATTGAACTTACTTCGTATAGTTGACGTGTAAAAATTTGAGTAAAATAAATTGATAACCCTGTTGCACAACTATGATAGGTTTTTGTTTAACAGTTTCATCTGTCGAAAATCGAAATACTTGTCATAAATAACTAAAATGAATAAAGAAACATGTATTTTTAAAATGATATTTACTCTCTTATTCATGTACAATACAAATCTTTAAATAATCTGCATTTCCTACATAAAACAATTGCAAAACAATTTTGAAAGAAATTGTAAAGAAACCAAAAATAATATATTCCACGCTTACAGGCGTCGTTTTAAATAGAATCAGAAAACGGTGTGCCTTTATCACCTGCTTTAATTAAATTTGTGCAGAACTAACATGGACGTCTTTAAAACAAAATTATGATGTTTACAAGTATGGAAAGAGAAAAATAAATAAAAACAACGAAGAGTACAGGGAGCATTTGTGATTGCGTAAGAAGAAGGCACTCAGGCAGCTGTTAAAAGCAGAGGATCTGTAAATTGCGTTGAACAATGCACCTGTAAAATTCTTCAATTCTTGATATCTTTGGCACCTTAGATCGCTATTTCGTAAAAAAAAATGTCATTCGTTTGTTCTTGCAGTCTAGCTACCTCAGACTTACTAGAACCTTAGAAAGCTCCTTATAGTCTGATGTTAACAAATGAACACATTTTATGCACTGTTTATTTTCAAACACAACTTATGGATCATGTAGAATTTGAAATGAAATTATGCCTCAATTAAGAAAGATTTATAAAATTTTCTTTTAAAAAACATATATTTTTTGGAATATTGCAGTTATTCTAATTCTCTATTATTAGAAATTGACATTATTTGTAGATACTTAAAGCATCTACTTTGTTTCAAGTGTGTGTAAATTTAAGTCATAGTTTACATTTTGTTTTTCCTTTTAATCCCAAATTACAAATAATTCACTATATTGGCTATACAGTGTCAAAATCCAGTACAATGCTTTCAGAGGGAATTTCATGCCTACTCTCCATTTTAAACTGATTCAGTCATTTCCAATTCCTTTCATCAATTTACTTTATAGCAAAGCCCCCGCACGATATATCCCGGGGAGCTTGAAATAAAATAAATGACAGAGTCTTTTTTACTAGAAAAGGACGTTCATGGTTATCGCACAACAACGCTTTATTATGATTTTAATTTGACTTTAACTTTTCAATCATCAACTTCCCTTACTTATGCAGCAATATATCTTTGTCATCTGCATACAGTGTTTATAATTCTCGATTGATTCGATACGGAAGAGCATGCTCTACATAAGAACAATTTCAAAAACGAGGTTTATTGTCAAACAAGTTGGCGAAGCAAAAGTATCAGCAGTTTGTTTAAAGTCGTCAATTCATAAGTACTATGGTCGATACAATGACCTTGCCAGCTAATACAATTAATCATTGAGCCAAATGATGACTGACATCTTTCATTCTCATAGTAAAGCCATTATTTACATAAAATAGAGATTTTTTTGGCATTGAAAATTGTGATTTACCTTTTTTTTTTTGTTGGTTAAGCCCCCCCCCCCACTTTCAATTTGCTTTCGACGCCCATGATTACTGTGTATACAATTTATTTCCATCACAATGATAGCTTACTCCTTGTTCATGTATTGTCTACTGCACGTGTTTTAAGTTGGATGCTTTGATGGGAAACGTACATGTAAATGACTGTTACGTCATAATGTGCATTGTAAATACTAAGTAATGGTATTGTTAATATGACTGTTATGTGATATCATAAATACTTCGTAATGATATTGTTATTTTTATAAAATAAATGCCAAGTCATACAATTTTTTTTATATATAATTTATACACACATATTTGGAACATGCCTATTTAAAAAAAATGTCATGAGAAATACATGTACGCGAGTATATGTTTACTTTTGGAGATAGAAAAGCTATTGAGATAGACATTTAAATTTATACAGTTGTAATTTTACGACAAAATTCCTTTACTATCTAAGTAAAGAGTCTATTCTTTATCGTGTACAAATCTGTAAAGTGTCAGAATATCAAAATTTTAGAAATCTAACATTTGGCAATTAATTCTCAAAGTACACTAAGTTAGAAAATGTTATTTATTTCATGTTTCAGAACTTCTATATAAAAAACCCTCATGATAGAATGAATTTTATTCCATTAATATACAATACATAATCACTTTCTTGTATAATAATATGTATATATATACAAAATGCTAAAAAGGCAAAAGGAGCACAGGCACTTGTTTCGTATACGGGGCACTCCTTGCAATTATTTTTACCTCTGTGGTAAAAATAAGTAGGGTACCCCGTATACGAAACAAGTGCCTGTGGAAATAACGTCATTACGACGTTAAAAAGCATATAGCTCTAACGTCATGATGTAGCATTCATTTAAAAAACAATACCAACTTTAAACGACTATAAAAAGAAAACTAAAATAGATATTGTCATAAAATGAATTGTTTTATAATCTGCTAATCTTTACACATTATTATGGAAAGTTTTATACATTTTGGTAACAGGGCGTACTTTGGTACTTCGTGGCTTTTGTTCTTTATCATTAAGTCAAATGCTAAATGACTTTTTTTCATATTGATTGCTAGCCCATTATTTACACACTGAGTTGTCCATGGATTTTCCCGTTATTTCCAGATATCATGATGGAGCACACAGCGGATGTGACCGGTCGGCAGGGGATGTTCACTCCTCCTTGGTACCTGATCCCACCTCTGATGTTTTAGAGGTCCGTGTTTGCTCTGCTCCTATTTTGTATTGTTTACTGGACTTTTAAGCTCGAATACTGTTCGTTATCTCCACATATTTCACAGTATACTAAAGATTTTTCATTTTGAGGTAATACATGTATTCTAATACATTGTACAAAATAATTATGCATCAAACAGTTAGAATTAAAAATTTTGTTTTTCATTAAAATTCAATAAATGTTTTTTTTAATAACTTTCAATAAGGAACAATTTCCGACATATGTACATTTTATAGTCTGCTGGCATGGATTTGAAAACATTTCGTATTTAAAGATATAAGTGGAATGAAACATATCAAAGATTTTCACACCTTTTGACCCCCCCCCCCCCCCTGAATTCTTGGCTGTTATAAATCATAATAATGCGGTAATTTTTCATAAATTTTACATTTATTCGTGGTTATACACATATGACGACAAGACTGAGCAACCTTCACTCGGGTTCTCTTCATTGCTAGTTGTGGAATGGTGTTTAAGTACATTGGATTATTAGGCTTTATCGGTAGATCTACCTCAATCGTATACAAAAACAGGGGGTGCTCATTATACAGAAAATCAAAGATTTTACGGCGTTAGAGGGGGAGTCGGAATGATTAAAATCGCTTGATCCACAAGATATACTTTGCCCTTTTAACGAGCACTTTTTGGAAATATCATGCAATTGCATCTAGACAGACAATAGTTTATCTAAACCTATTAGAGAAATCCTGTTGAATGATTACGACTAACCTATTGCAATATATTTTGTTCTTCGTTTATTCTTTATAATTGCACCGTCTGTATGAATGGAACATCTTTTGCCATGGTTCGTGAGATGGAGACACATAGGGCGCTCTTTCATCTAAGAATTATATACATTCTATTGTTTGTTTTGTCCGCCACCAGCATTGCAGCACTTTGGATTTCGTTGGAGGCTTATACCGAACTAAAACGGTTGAATGAGGCCAGATGGTCGAACTTTCCCTTCAGCCATGGCGGAAATAACAGCGAGGATGAGACCCAGAGATCCAAAAGGAACAACCTGGAGCCACCGGAAATGTACCAAGACGTCACCTTCTCCGGGCTGTCCTCATCCTACGACTTCTACTCCTCGGTGAGTACAATCATTTTTCTTGTTGCGTTTGTTAACTTGAGTAACATTTGTATATTTAAAATATCGTATAAGTAGAATTTTTAGCGAGGATTTAATTTTGGCATTATTAGCGAGGGTCATGAGATCGCTTAAATTGAATACCGCTTAAAATCAATTGCATTTTATTTGTAATAGCTGCTTAAGTAAGCATTTTAAAAGCGCTAGGTTTAACTGTCGCTAAAAATAAATTCCCAATTTTTAAGAAGAAATCGCTAAATAAGCTTCTCGCTAAAATTTCTACTTATACGGTACATGTATGATACTATAGCAATAGTTTGAATCCATTGCCTTTTAATGCATATTGAGACTGCGTAGTTTACAATTACTGATTTGCATTACCAGAATTAAGATGTAGGTGCTATTTTTTTTTTAATATAAAAAGGGTCGCTTTATAAAGAGCAAAAAATTAGATAAATGAAGGATATAGAGATAATGAACAGTATTCAATTTAAAGTCCATAAAACAATACAAATTAGGAGCAGAGCAAACACGGACCCTCGAAACATCAGAAGTGGGATCAGGTGCCATGAAGGAGTGATGAATTGGTCATAATAAAAGAATAAGCTCCTTGGCGTGTGTTGAGAATTACTTATTTTCACTTGATTTCGTTGTTTTCGTGTTCGTGAAAAAAACCCTGTATCAGTTAACCCTGTTTAGAATGTCACATGTATTGATGTCTGCATATTTTTTAATAAATCATATTTGACTATTCTTAACCTGATATAATATTAGTTTGCTTTATCATTTTTATATGATATAATACCGATCCAATTTGAAATGGACATTATAAAATATTGGAATAATATAATGATATGATAATTTAGTGCTATACCTTTATATCATTGTACGATAAAATATTTTTTTTCACATATTTCTCACAGTCTATTGGTAGCAGTGGTATCTTGTTCTGTCCTCCACAATTTTAATTTTCTTTGAGGGATCTTTATACAAATTCGCTATGATGTTAGATATCGACTATTTTTAAAATTTTATCACAGGGTTAATCATTCTGTAAGAATGGATATGGGGTGAACAAAGTGTGCAGAAAGACTATAATTTCATATTTATAAGAATCATATTCATTTTGTTAATTAAGCATTTACAGTAAAATTTTTATGGTAAATTTTATAAAATTATGATAAACAAAACTTCGAGAGAAAAAAATAAATCAGTTATTTAAAAAATAGAGTGGTATTCGTGGGGTTTGAACTATAATGATAACTCCTGTTGAATACATTCAAATTTGGGTCGTGATATAACCTTTGATTAAACAAATATTTTCGGATGAAATGTGAATGTTGTGTATTAAAAGTGTATTTAAAGATATATTTGGTCTTTGCTCCTTGATTTATTAATTAAAAAATGTGCATTTTTGTGAGAACTTTGAAGATAAATTTTGAATGGAAAGACGACCTACTCGAGTTATCGAAAAATCGTGTTATACCATGAGAAAATGATCTTTTTGCCTTTTTGTGTATATACTATTTCATATGCAAATAATTTTAATTTTGGTGAGATTTTTGCAAGTTGTGAAAATTTTACCTAAAGTAGGCTTTAATGTTAGTTGATAAAACAAATTTTTTATAAGTAAGATTTAATTTAGGTTTAAAACGTATTTCTCTTTTGGCAAACGCTACACATGCTTAATTTATACAAAACTAAGACACAACTGTTTTTAAATATTTAATCATGATAATATATAAACTCGAAATTATCAGCAGTCCTCTTTGTTCATGTGGAAAGTATGAAGAGAGATCAATGTTGATCATTATTATTTCTTTTGCTTGTAGAAATTATGCAAATGATAGAAACAATCTTTTCAAACACGAACAAGTTATTATGGGGTGATAAAGATTTGCGTGTATTAACTAATAAAAATATTTTTGATGCTGTCCATAAATTTATTGATGAAAAATGCAGATTTTAAATTGATTTCAATTGTTATTCACTTATATCACTTGAAAATATTATATTTTAATATTTTAATTGCATGACATATTGTTTTATATAGGGAGAGGACGAGGTACGAACCATGTTTCTAATCCTTTTGATTCATTTAATAAAATATGTTTAAAAAACAATATAATTTTTATCATAATTGTCGCACTATAGGCCTTCTGAACGCCCTGTAGCTGCTCACTTATATATGTTCTTTTTAATAATCAATTAAACATCCATTGTTCCGTGATCCAACATCGAATTGCACGAGATAAACAAAGGCATCTAAGATATTGGAACTAGAAAACCTGAATCAACAATACCTTGCTTAAACGTGTTGTATCAAAAAACTTCTCTTGATAAGATTTTTTACTGGAAAAATATTCCAAGTGTTATAATAACTGGAGAAAGCATCTATCAAGGGCAATGTCTGATAAGCAAGCGCTCACAGATCTCTTCCATAAACAAAATGGAGGCTCAAGGTGATCTGGCTTTGCACATCAAAATTATATACTTACTTATTGCTGGAAATACGTGCCTTACTGGTATTCTGTTTGTTACAAGCAGAAATAGTTGTTTTCACGATGACCAGACGATAAATATTTACTCAAGGTACGAAGATAAATTACGCGGGAAATCTAACCGTCTGCGGCGTAATAGTATGTTCATAGTCGATAATGTGGTGAGTAAAAAGAAATAATGTAAGAGTATGACTTTATCTTGTTTGGAATATGGTCTGATGAATTAAGCAAATTTAACGTGTTTAATGAGTTTAGCAATTTTGAAAAACTATTAATATCGGTTTTCCTGTCATCATAGAAGGCTATGATAATTATAAAACTGGTAAAATTTGTTGAATTCTAAAATGTTTTTCATTTTTTTTTAGACCATTGACTACAGATTTTGCAGGAAAGTAATCTCGGACTGTGATCTTAGAACTCCGGGTAAGAAAGTTCATTAAATACAGATACTTCTCTCGCTTTGTCGGTTTAATAGCACTCATAGAGTGTAATAAAGGGTCCTTTTAAACATCTAATTTTAGTATCTTAGTATCTTTTTCTTCATTTCAGTTATTCCTGGACCTCCTGGATCTAAAGGGGAAAAGGGTAATTTTCCCAAATAATTTGATAAACACCAATTACTGCTAGTATATATTCAAGCATGAAGTAATAAAAATACATGGAGAAAGTTAACTTTAAAATATCGAGATCGACATAAATAAAGAATAATATAATTTAAACACTTGAATAATATTATCCATCAAATATTATACATCTCTGAAAAATACGTAATATCACCATAAAAGCTTATTACTTCTTTGTCAGGAGAGCCAGGGATCGATGGTAAAGGAGTAAAAGGGTGTAAGGGAGAAAAAGGGGAGAAAGGGTGAGTATAATTTTATTGTGTGCAGTGTTTGGGATGCATTGGTGCATTCAAAAATACTAACATATATTCCCTACGATGTCATGTAGCGGATATTTGGAATGATTCAAGTAAGGTTTATATCTTCTGCGTGTATCTAAAAGGATATTTGATAATTTTGATTTCTTAATTAATATTATGACTTTAAAGAAATTAAAAATTTAAGACTATACATGTATATTTTTAACTATATTCAATTTTTACTCTCTCTCTCTCTCTCTCTCTCTCTCTCTCTCTCTCTCTCTCTCTCTCTCTCTCTCTCTCTCTCTCTCTCTCTGAAAAGATCACCTAAAACATGTAAAAACAAATTAAAAACATTGTCATGGGTAAAAATGTATCTACCATTATCGGGCAAACGCCATGATTGTGAAACCATAAAAATCTGTAGACAATTCAGTGTGTAATTTTAAACATGATCTATATATTTACCAACTGGCATATAAAACTAAGTCAGCTTCCCCGCTTATTGATAATGGACTCAATGATAAATTGTATTTGCTGACAGGATCATTGTATCGACCAAAGAATGTGCAAAATGATGACTTTAAGCGAGACAGTAGAGATCTTTGATTATTCAAATTGTTTGCATGTCAATAGCTTGCCTCGTTTGAGAAAATTGACGTACATTGTACGTTAGAGCAAACCCATGTGTATTGAATCAGTTGGGCTCATATGCAATTGATAAGGGTATAAATGTATTGCTACACAAGTATGGGAAGTTTACTATAGAAAAATTGAAAGTTGTCAAGTTTATCATTAAGTTTCGTTGTTATATTACCATTAAGGTCTTTATCTACTAAAATATCTGAACACTAAACAGATGTATCTTTACCTTGGATATAAACAGTCGACATACTCGACAGTCCTGAATGGATATGAAATAATTTTTATGGATAACGCGTCTTCAATATATCTAGATTGAGAATTCGAATTGAAAGCCACAGAAATTGTTTTATTCTTATGTGTGTTTGTTTGAATAGTTGTTATTTAAAAGTCCATTCCTTCACGTGATTATAATTAAAAGTTAACTTTTTAGGTATACCAGGATTGCCTGGTAAGTATATATCTTATTCGAATTTTATAACATGAATTATTCAACCTGTCTTAAAAGCAAGCATATCATTCGATATATATGTATCTCCACCATGTATAAAGTTGTAACACAACCGAAAAAAAATGTTTGAGGTTTAAAAGTATCTGAAATTCTAAACCAATACAGTAAGAAGTTACTCAGATGTGCCTTTGTCGTGTTTGTAGGTAAAAGAGGAGACAACGGTAAGAACACTGTATTCTTCAGTAAATATTTCCTTCATATCTCGATATTTCCACTAAAAAGATCTACATAAGTTATATATTGAAATGAGTTAGAAAGATTTATTAAGGTGTATAATGAACTTACCAAATATTCATTTTGTTCGAGAAAGTTTTTTTTTTAAAAAACTAGTATAATTTCTTTCATGTATGGAACGTGATTCTTTTCAGGTATACTAGGAGAAAAAGGTAAACCACCTCCACTTTTTATAATCTGTTATATATTCTGCTATAAATACATGTTTTAATGGACAGTGATCTACCTCAAAAAATCTTTAAACCATAGAAGCTTACTTCATTAACAACATATTTTACCAATTTTATATACATGTATTACCATATGTAGTTTAATTAAAAGTAACCACGAAGAAGTATTCAAACTAAACTTTTTTTTATTCAATCATAAGTTTTCTATTTCTATTCCTTGACGTCTTTTTATGGTGCATTTTCTAGCTATAATATCCCAGCACAAATATCGTTATGGTTAGCGTTTTTGTTATCGTTTTTTTCGTCAAATGGTGCTCTGCATCACAAGCCTCGTGCGATGGATATTTTCTAGGTATTTTTTTTTCACCATCAATGCTGTTATGATAATTTATTACAAATTTCATTCCATCACTTGATATTCTAAAACCATTTCTTCTTTTTTTATTTCATAAATGTTTTGCTTTGGCTATTTTCTTCCTATTTTATTCACTATTGTCATTTTTAACTATAACTGAATTTCTCAGTTATAAAGCCTTGCATCAACAAATTTATGCCATGACAAGGATTGTAAGAGTTGTTTTCCAAGTTATTGTATTTCGTCACAAATATTGCTATTTCTAATTTGCAGGTGAACCAGGGCTATCAGGTTTACCAGGTGAGCTTTATTTATTCGTTTTTAAGGTTAAACAAAAACAGTCGAATTATATTTGCTTGCTATTTAGCCTAACTACAAGTCAGTGTGTGTATTTTGCCAATGAAAAATGTATTTATTTAAACATACCTTACATAAGATCAAAATAATTTCAAAATAATAATAAAATGTATCACATACTCATTCCTTTTTGGTGAAGTAATATAAGATATATTTCAGGTCTAAAGGAGATAGAGGTAAGATTTTGCAGTCTTTTTCTATATGACGAAATAAACAATAAGTGAATAAATAGTACAAAAAATGGTATAGTAAATAAATTATTGTAGGCCTAAAAGAAAAGATGGCAAAAGTGTGTTTTGGGTATCGTTAAAAATTGAATATACATGTAGGTGTATAACACAAAATGAGTTTTACCGTAAGAGTGTATTTTCAAAGCATTTTTAAAGCGCATATTTTTCGTTTAATAGTATAGTTACCGGATGCTAACTTATAACTTGTGTCTAAATGTCTTTTTGCTTTGGATGTCAGTAGTACAAATACAGAAGTAACATTCTGTATCACTAACCACCAGTTTTGTAGACTTACCAATAACTGTCCAGATATATAGAGGATATCTATATTGTGTGATTTGATATTGGCTTTATCCAACGAGTTGAAATGGTGTACAGTATATGTTCGCGAGGCTTGCCGAGCGAATATACACCATTTCAACGAGTTGGATAAAGCCAATATCAAATCACACAATTATACATGTTCTATTTATCTCATACGACTTTCGTTTAACAAAACTTTGAGACTTCCCCTGCGGAAATACATGCTAATTCAAATTGATGACGTATAACTTGATGACGTAGCACCGTTGATGTTGACATGCCTCGAAAGAAAGTAGATCGTGTTCGAATTTAGAATTTTTGCTATCTGCGTCTTTGAAAACATGTGACAATTGCTGGAGCTTTACATCAAAGAACTTCTGACTGAAAGTTGTAAGGACCATGGGATCATGAAAATTAACTCTTCAATGTACGGTGGCAGTACAAAAAGTGCTAGGCAAGGCTATTGTTGGTCCATGGCAAGTTAAACCTACATTACTCATGTTACTAGGTAGGCATACGTAGTATAATATAAGAAAGCATTTATTGAAGATGTTAAAGGAATATTTATATAACAACAACTTAATTGTTAGGCTTTACTTTCTCCGAAAATGATTTAAAAGGGGGGGGGGGTAACATCCGTCTTGAAGTAGCCAATACAGCATGATTCAGGTACCTTGATAAAAGAAGACACTTCTTTTACATCTACGTGTTTTTTTCTTGCTTTTAGCGACATTATTGATCTTATCATTCATTTTATAAGGGCAACACTTTTTACAAATAAAAGAAGAAGGTACGGTTTGGGCAATAAAATTTAATCTTGAAGCGAGGTAAATCGGCTCAAAATAGTTAGTAGATGAATATGATAAATCATTAAAGAATAAGCATGATGGAGGACCATTCTGAAAATATGACGTCACAAATTCGGTAGATTTCTAAGTTTGGTGCAGAAAAAGAAGACTCATTTCTGTGCTTATTTTCCTTCATGGTACCGTCGCCCACTTCAATTTTTGGATATATTATGTAAACTGCTTTGAAAAATCACATATATCAAAATCTTTCTGGGCGACGGTGGCAGAGTATGTTTTCTGGAAGAAAATTTCACTGAAAATTAATGTCTTCTGCAACTTTTTAAGAAAATACGGGAAAATGTACCAGTTAATGACGTCACAATTGAGGCATACAGGAGGTCAAATGAGAAAAACAATTTGAGTATTCTTATTGCATGGAATTCCTATGATTCAGAAAGAATGAATTTTAATTTCTTAAATCACTTTCATATTTTTGGAAAAATACTGGGCTTAATTTGTATTGAAAGTGTACCTTCTTCTTTCAATAAAATAAAATCTCGAAGCGAGGGATCGTGTCAAAACCGGAAGTGTTATTGATAAAGCAACTACAAGTGGATAAAGCATATGTTTATCCAACATGGGCTTCTCACACGTATGAGATAAAAAGTTTTATCTCATACGTGTGGGTGATACAGGCCGTTGGATAAACTTATACTTTATCAACGGGTAGATGCTTTATCAATAGGACTTCCGGTTTTGACACGATCCCTCGCTTCAAGATTTTATTTAATTGAAACTTTTATTTGTGAAAAGTGTTGCCCTATAAAATGAATGATAAAGGGCAGTAATGTTGTTAAAAACAAGAAAAGACTCGTATATGTCAAAGAAGTGTCTTATTTTATCAAGAACCTGTATTGGCTACTTGAAGACAGATGTTACACACCCCCCCCCTTAAATCGTTTTCGGAAAAGGTAAATCCTACCATTTAGATTGTTGTTATAAGATTCCTGTAATATCTTCAATAATGCTTTCTTATATTATACAACGTATGCCTACCTAGTACATGTAATGTAAGTGTAGCTTACCATGGATCAGCAATGAGTCTACAAAGCCTTGACCAGCACTTTTTGTACTGCCACCGTACATTGAAGAGTTAATTTTCACGATCCCATGGTCCTTACAACTTTCAGTCAGACGTTGGTTTAATGTAAAGATCCAGCAATTGTCTCATAATGTTTTCAAAGACGCAGATAGCAAAAATTTTAACTTTTGAACACGGTCTACTTTCTTTCGAAGCATGTCAACGTCAACGGTGCTACGTCATCAAGTTATACGTCATCGATTTGAATTGGCAATCATTCATGTAGTTTTGCAGGGGAAGTCTCAAAGTTTTGTTAAAACGAAAGTTGTATGAGATAAATAGAACATCTATAATTGTGTGATTTGATATTGGCTTTATCCAACTCATTGAAATGGTGTATATTCGCTAGGCAAGCCTCGCGAATATATACACCATTTCAACTCGTTGGATAAAGCCAATATCAAATCACACAATATAGATATCCTCTATATATTAAGTGTATTTATGTATATAAAGGAATTTATGGGATCTAAATGTGCAAAGTTTTTGTATTCACAAACACTTGCTTTATCATGTTAATAGCTGCAGAACAGAGCTGCAAATGTGCTTCAGGTACATGCGAACTGAGTTATTCATTATTGCCCGCATTTGAGAGCACATAACCTTCGACAGTTTGTATAAAGATACACACACCTGGCTATCCATCAAATTATAGTTTTGTATGCCCATACATTTTTTTAAAATTTATTCTATTCTGTCAAGAATTATCATTTATTGTAAATGTTTAATTTTTTCGGATAGTTAAGATATTTGAATATGTCCAAAGCTGTTCAAGTTGTTTACTTGCTTAGTTTACACTTGCAGGCGTCCCAGGCCTTATGGGTATACCAGGTAATCATTGTTTCTTATTTATAAAAGAAATATTTATTTTATCGTGTACTAGTAGTTTGCATGTGACAACAAATTTATTAAAAATCAAATATTTTGAATTCGTAACCTTTCAAAAATCATCAATTTTACAAGATTCTTTCGTTATATTTTCTTATAAAGATGCTGAAGTTGAATAAATTTCTAAATGTAAAAACATATGCAAGAAGATATGTAAAAGTCGCCCTTTATTCTTTCAGGGTTACCCGGTATGAAAGGTAAATAAATATATTTATAAATAAACATATCAATACATTTCTTACTTAATTGTAGAGAATTCGGAATACTGAGTATTAAAATAATCTTATAATTCTATCCTTCTTCCAAAGTTTTCTAGTGAAGAAAAAATACTTTTTTTCTTAATTTTATAGGAGAAAGGGGGAAAATGGTAAGTTCTTATTTGTTCTTGCAATTTAAAATACAGTACTTATAAGCTAGATAATTGCCTTTTATTCCAAAAACTTCGGGCACTGAACGTTAATGTAAATATTGTACAGTTGTGCATATATAACAAAGTTGGACACTCGGCAAATAAAGGTTTAGGGTATTGTGGATGTATATTAAAGGCTCAAAAGAAAAAGAAAAGTTCTAAATAACCCTTGCTTCGTTCCACTGTAATGCATTTTTTTTTAAGAAATAAATTTCTTAACATCTCCACTTACCTAAGAATTTTGCTAAATTTTCTGAAGTTTCCGGTAACAACAAAGTGTATATGAAGCTAGTTTTTTTTTATTTTCCCAAACCATTAACTTCGTGTGGCCTTGTTAAGAATGATGCCCCTGTACAAAAGAAAAAAAAGTTTATCACTGAAGGAATTAGTGGTTGATTTAGTGTTTAGTGAGATCATTATGTATATATTGGAGATCTCCAATAGTAGATTTCTTTTGCATCTTTTATATTTGTCAACAAAGGTTATAAAGTAAGAATATTCTTACATTGATGAAAATTAGTAAATGACTGATTGAAATTAATAAAACATAAGTAAATTTATTTATTTATTTGTTTTCAGGGAGCCCTGGACCTGAGGGACCAAGAGGTTGAGCCAAGCTTCCTTCACTTAACATTTAATTTAAATCCTTACGTTGTAGTCTCTGTGAGATACTCTGAATGAAATTATAAATGTCTTAGATATTACAGTAGTATTTTCGATGGTATTATCTATGTACAACCACATAATTCATCAGCCTTTGATCATCGAATGAATAACAAACCTGCTGATAATATTTTCCTTTCTTTTCTTTTTGATAAAAATATAAGATTGCAAAAGTAACCCTGATATCAATGATTCTCTTAATCGATTTCAGGTTACCCCGGATATCCTGGTGAGAACTTAATTAGCGTACGGCTTTACACTACCTATAGAGCCACTAACAAGACCGATAAAAGTTCAACAAGAACAAAAGTTCAACAAGATACTTAATTATCTTAAATGCATTAAATTCATGTTTTCAAAAATAATAATGAACAATTTGAACACTTTTTTTTCAAATTATGAAACATGTAAGGAAAGAAAAAATTATATCATATAAAAAAAGTTAAAAAAAAAAACAAATTTCCAAGACATTGAAAAATAATACTTTATAATCGGTTATTTCTGTAATACTCTCAAAAAAAACGTAAATAAATTCAATAATAAAAACTTCTATAAGTTCTGTCAATCAGTCCCCAATCCACCGTTGATATGTTGATGATGTTTTCTTTGATCAGGTAAGCAAGGCGACGTAGGACAAAAAGGTGACCCGGGTGCTACCGGTCCAAAAGGAAAAAGAGGCATCCCTGGTCGAAAAGGAGACGTGGGTTCAAGAGGAAGTAGGGGTTTCCCTGGTAAGAAAGGAGAAATGGGAGGGACTGGATCCAAAGGAGACCAAGGGGATATAGGTCCTAGGGGTGAAAGGGGTGTTTCCGGTCCTAAGGGTGAGCGTGGAGATACCGGTGAAAAAGGCGAACGGGGAGAGAAGGGGTCACCTGGGAAAGCCTGGTCTCCAACATCAAATGACACGTGTCTCTGTTCCTGCACTTACATCGGTAAGCAGTATTACATTCAAAGCCAAACATCTTCTGTTAATAAACAATCTAAGAATGAAAGCTGTGAATTTACTGAATCAACAATGGGTTTCTCTTGGTCTTAATTAGTATATATCTGGTAATGCAAAATTTGTCAAGGTCACTTCCGTTAGACTGGTCAAAGTGTAATATAAATAGGAAAGAACCGTTATCCAAAATAAAGTGGTAAGGCAATCTGTGGGAATAAAACAAACCTCTAAATCATTCAGAGGTGGGATGTAGAGAGGAATAGAATAGAATTTATATCCAAATTAGGGCCTCATGTGGCATGACATAGAACATTTATGATTACATATAAATACACATAAATCACATAAGTACAATATACATGTATACCTAATTAGCTCGTTGTACAGTTTGAAAAGTAATATAATGGTATGATGGCTACAGTGTAACTTATTAAAACAACTCATTGTTCAGCTTATTTAATACATTATAATGACACAAATTGAAAAAAATATACATACATGTATATATGCTGCTGTAAAGGTTAGTAAACTGAACATTTATGCAATATAATGAATGCAACATAATGAGTGGAAAATAAAAGTTACATCAAAGGTGTGTGGATATATAAACTATTTAAAATGTATTTGTTATAGGATAGTATAATTACACATTGTAATGCAACCTTTCATATTTTACAACAGCATCCCCCACAGAGAATTCTCTTTCAGAGGAAGAAACGACTACTGATGTTGTGGCATGCTCACGTATGTTTTAATTAGTAATTTGCTCAATAAAATATTCTTTGCATTTACAATTGAAGTACATGTAGTCCAAAATTATGTTATTTAGTAAACTGTGTAAACTATTTTCATAACCAGCATCACCCACAACAACCAGCAGTTCGACAACAACGACAACAATTCCAACAACAACAACTAGCAGCACAACAACAACAACCGTGGCCACCACCTCAACAACTCTTGTCCCAACGACACCGAAGCCGAGGAAAAGTTGTCAGTATCAACTCATATCCTAGTATGCCACTGTAATTATAAATAATTTGCTGTACTAATGCATATAATCTTTGAATGTTGATCCGAATACTCTTGTTTCAGATTGTGTCATAAAGAAAATTGGAATTCCGTTCTTCAAAACGAAGTCTGGGTCGTTGAAGGGATGTTGGATGAGAGATCCTTTAATGACGTCACAGAAAATCTGGGTCACAGAGGGAGTGAGTGGACAGTATCTCACAGAGTATTCATCTACAGAGGAAAGCAAGGAAACATTCATGTATAACTTAACTCAGTTTATGTACCAAGGAACGGACCATGTAGTGTACAATGGTACATTTTGTTACCATTGGAAAGGTACCCTAAAAATAGTTTGTTATGATCTCCGTTTACGTGCTGTAGTAATGGCGTTTGACGTGATCAATTCAAATTACGAAGGGGATACGACTCTGTACAAAGATAGTAATTCCTATTTTGACTTGGAAGCAGATGACAATGGCCTGTGGCTTATATACACTGAGAAAAATGACGTGGATAATATATATGTTCTTCATTTTTACCCTGGGACCTTAAGAGAGTACAGACGCATAAAAGTTCCTGTGAAAGTTCAGGAGTATGGGAATGGATTTATATCCTGTGGAATTCTGTACCTGGTGTCGAGTTCTACAGTTCAGAGAACGACTATCCAATCTGCTTACGATTCATTCAAAATGGAGTCTATATCATTATCTTTAAATTTTATTAATCCTTATGCAGGAACTTCTATGATAAGTTTCTTTTATGATAGAAATCCAAGAAATTGTAGACTATTAGGATGGGACAGCGGGCGCCTGATTGATTATCAAATACTGTTTCGGTGACATGTGTAGCAAGAGATCACTTAACATAGTCTGTATGTCTGTCAGTATGAGACAACATATTATTTGGTATGAAAACATCTGCAAAACACCATAGTACATGTAACTGACGTTGACAATTTATTTGGCTTTTTGACTATCCTTGTGTATCCAATCCTTTGTGTGGGGTGGGAAAATGGTACTTAAGGTAGGATTCTTCTCATATTTCTTATATTTAAAAATTGAAGAAATTTTCACAGAATCAAAAGGACAATATCACTAAGTGATAGTATCAGTGAGATTAAATTTGACCGTTTAATATTAGAGGCAAGGTCAGGTAAAGGTCATTACCTTTTTCTTGGACATTAAGAATGAAAAATTACCGTTTCCAATCATGCGATCCCTACTTGTAATTCAAAAGATTGAATGTTTTTCTTTTTGCATAAAAAGATACTACCATATGGGGCCTATAAGATGATATTACCAAATTTTCATGGATAATTTAAATAAAATGGATATTTGCTAATCCGAATTTCCTCTACTTTTCTTAAATTTTTAGGATATATTAGTTATTTTTATATGCTTCCTATATTTAACTTTTTCCAATTTTCACATATAGTAAAGCTGTCACATAAAGGTACAAAATGATTTAAAAACTAAAAGTTTTAATCGTTAAATAAGAGAGAAATAACACTTTTTACGGATTTTTGGCTCAAATCTGTAATTAGATTTGAAGCATTTAAAAGCCAACATAGTTCTAGTATGTGGGAAAAATCTTATTTATTTGATATTTTTTGAAACTTTCGTCTCTTATTATTAATTTAACTTACATTTGAAAATTTCCTCTAGTCTTTGATTGCGTAAAAATTATAACTAAATTCAATGTACTATAATAAATTTGAGAGGCAGAAAAGAAGATATTTTCATACGCCACCATTCCGCCAAAAATATAGTCCCTGCTAGTTTTCAAACACAGTTCACTATTTCTATTTAAAGTTGTATAATTCTGATGAGGAAAAAAAATATGGTCTTTTAAATCTCTTACATCTAAATATGTAAGACATATCAACAAATTTACTTTGAATATTCCATCTAGTCAGAAACCAGAGAAGAATCCTACCTTAAAAAGTTAATTTATACATATCCGAATTGTTGCTTTTGCATCAAATACTTTTCCAGTGGGAACGCTTGTCAGTATCATAACTGGATTAACAACTCCTTCAGTGCCATGTTAAGGTAATTCCACCCTCCTATGATGTCATAGGTTTTTGCAAAAACTGTAATTAGTTTATATTCATACCTAATAGAACAATATCTCTTGGAAGAATTCTTTACAATAGGTGTAATGATAAATATTGTTAAGTTAAAGATCTTAAAAAATGCATATTTTCTATATTTAATAAAATATTCAATCTTTAAAAATGTTGACAAGGGCAAGAACTCCGTCTAAGGTATCTTCAATCAGGAATTTGCTTTATTGTAAAATAGTTTCCCTGATATTCACAATTCAAAAGGATCTTTTAAGTAGGAAGTATTTAGGAACATTCAGCATCAGAATTGTACATTTTTACCAGTTTTTACATTATTTTCATAATGCTGTTTACTAAAAAACTGCGATTTTTTATGTTTAAATACACTTCTGTTTAATTATATTTCGCATCTTAAATGATATGGTGACCTATACATTTTTTGCAATAATTGGGAAATTTAAAGTATATTTAATGAAAATAAATGCAGTGTTTGTACTTTGAACCTATAAAATTGTGAGGGTGGAAACACCTTAATTTGCCAAAACGTCACACACAACGCTTCAAGTCTTACTATGTATAGTAAAATATATGTTTTCACATAAATGTAATAGGCCTTCTTCTTTTTGTAATGGATTCCTCAGAAGAGTAACTGATCAGGTACATGTGTTGATTTTGAAATAAATCGTAATTATTCTAAGATAATTAGTATAAACAGTGCTCACAGCAAATGTTGAAAACTTTTTTGAATAAAATTAAGGTTTGTAGTAAGGGGATGGCACCTGATCCCGACCACTGATGTTTTGAAGGTCCGTGTTTGCTCTGCTCCTATATTGTTTGTTTGTTTTTTTTGGACTTTGGAGCTTGGATACTGTTCGATATCTCCATATATTTCAGTGATGAAGCATTAGAGTTATAAAATGTAATTAGTTAGAATTGACTTGCTAATCCTCCCTAAAGTTACGAAATATATCGCAATACTTATCTTGTTAGATATACTTATACGTCAGTGTAGGTATGATATCAAATTATAGAACTATGAATGTATGTTTTCAACTTTGAAGATAAACACCTGAATGTATAATACAATAAATTTATTTTATGAATGTTGAAATTTACTATTGTTTTGTTGAATCTCTGACAAAAAGAAATATGCCTTGAGCTGAATTATTTTAAACGAGATGCATTTAGTATACATACTGTTTTTAAAAGGTAGAGGGACAATAGCCATTTGCTAACAAAATGACCAGTCCAATATTATTTTGAGAACGGTCCTGTTTTTTTTTCTAGCTTTAAAGAAATTAAATACCTTATTTATAAATACTATTTCTTCGTACTCACTGTCAACAATACCAGCTGCAGAAAAAAACAGCAACATTTTGAATTAATAGCGAGCTGTGGGCTATTGTGACATCCCAGTCAAATACAATATTTTTTTTTTCGAAGCAAATCTCTGTACACTACCCACAATGCACCTCAAACAAATTATTATTATGACTGTGTTAATGTTCTTTGGCTCGCATCCTCGCGACAAGAAATATGCACTTAAATTTGCTAATGTTGGAAAAGGGTTACCCGTTGGAAAAATCCATCGACAATTCGGTGTGTAAATGATGGTCTAAAAATTGGCATGAAAAACTGTAGCATTTGGATCGTATTACTTTGATGACAAGGTCATTGTTTCGACCATAGAACTTAAGAAATGATGACTTATGTGAGAGTGTTGATATCCGTGTTTCATCAACTTGTTTGTCAATAATTTACCTCGTTTTAAAATATTCACACGTAGATAATAGAATACTGTGCATATAAATCAACTGAGATATAAACCCCATATGTAGGTGTGACGGGTATATTACTGCATAGCTGCAGAACTGTAGCTCTCCGAAAAATATATACTAGTATATTGACAGACCGGTCTGTCAATGTGTGTATATATTTGAGAGCTACGGTATGCAGCTATTTACTGCATAGGTAAGGGAGGTTGACGATAGAAATTAAAGTCATCGTGTTTTTCATAAAGCTTGGTTGTTAGATTACCATTAACGTTTTTTTAAGTAAATTATCCAAATATGAAACGGTCGTGTCAGACTCAGTGCTGTCTTTTATTTCAAACTCACTTGGGATATATCGTGTCGACATATGAATGGATTGATAATGCGTCGTCGGTATATCTAAATGACAAGGTGTTCAGGCTAAAGCTAGAGTTCTCTTCTTCTCAAACTGGTATATAAGATTTTGAATGAATTATGCCCCCCTAATCCTATCTATGAATACAAAAATAGGTCTGCTAATTACGGGGCAGGATTGGTACCTATATAGACTGATCTCCAAAACCACATACATGTAGATATTGTCATTCAGAAACTCAAGCATGTTTTCAAAATCATCTTCAAAGTACTTGTGGGTAATGTTTTTACAAAATATAATTTAGCAAATGACCAATGTCAAGTTAATTTAATTTACGAGTTCCAATTTTATTTAATGAGCAGCTGTCTATGATGTCAAGAAACCTAAATCTATAAATCTTATAGGGAGGAATAGTTGTATAAGAGTGTCGAAGTCTTAGCTTTTTATGTTTTTATTAAATGGTTATTTTTTCATTTCAATTTTCGAAAAGTTTCTTAGAGTTTTATAGTATCCAAAATATTTAATTACACCACTTAATTCTGCGACTATGTTTTTGCGACAGTACTCTGGAAGTTTACTGCACTGTATAATGTTGCAATCTGAGGAAAAACAGTCTTGATAAACATTACTGTGTTCTGTTTCTATGAAAATATGGAACAGTTGATAATTAGAGAAATAATGGGTATTATATTTATAGTCTGCATAGCATTGTATTCGGCGCACATGAAACCTGTGATAATTTAAAACCATAATATGTGTATAGTCCATACGATAAACTTGTGTGAGTTGATCTATACACATGCAATTTAAGCATTATCGATGAAAATCGGACGGATAAGCAAAATTTATTTTCCAACATATAATATATTCTAATAAATATTATAATTGAACTTGATAAGAACTTCCTGGTGCGATCTATACCTCCGTACTAAACGATTACATTCTATCAAGCATTATTTTTTCTTTACGGAGATAAAAATGTCAAGGTTGTTCACGGTAAATACAATAAACATGGGTTAATTACATAACAATATCATTTAATTATTTAGAACATCACATTCACAATTGATAAACTAGGTTTATCGACTGTAAACTATAGTTTACAAACCGTAAACTATAGTTAACGATTCGTTAAGTATAGTTAACGATTCGGTAAGTATAATTTTCATTTGTAAAACTATATTTAACGGTCGTTAAATATAGTTTACGAATGTTAATCTAAGTTTATCTGTCTGAATAAAGCGTTAACAATAGATTTTGTTGATAAACATAGATTCGCGTTTGTAAACTATAGTTTACAATCGTAAACTATAGTTAAGAGTTGTTAATCATAGTTTCACAAATCGTGAAACTGTATATTATCAGATCGTTAACTATAGTTAACGGTTTGTAAACTATAGTTTGCAAATCGTGAGACTGTATTTATCAGATAATCTATGTTTTGCAATCGCAATTGATCGTTTTCGGTTAGATTATCGCGTTAACTATGGTTTACAGATGTAAAATATAGATTAACGTTGTTAACTATAGTTTACAGTCCGTAAACTATAGTTTACAACCGATAAACCTAGTTTATCGACTGTGAAACTATGATTAGCTCATTTTTCTGAATTTGGCGTGCCATAGCTATACTTCATAGTGACAGATTTTTTATCACACTTAAAACGTATTCTAAGCTTTTAAGTCGTGTTTGTTCACGGTAGAATTGTCATAAATATTATATTATTCCTAAATGTGCTTAAAGTTTACAAAAAGTTTGATCCAAAAAAATCTTGCGAGCAAAAAACTTTAAAACCATGTGTTTTATTTATTTTCTTATGGGTTTGTCTGA